TGGGCTGTTTCTGTGACCACTGTATGTATAACTACCAGGATTGTTACACATGTACACCTTCATAGAGCTTTTGAACTGTGGGTGGAGTGGGATAAACTGTAATATTGTATATGGAGGCATGATGCTATGATAGACCTCACTTTATTATGCATCTACTATGTACCAGGCACTATTCTAGGCACTGCAGATAGCATGAAGAAGGAAATGCAAAAGGATACGTGACCTTATATGTTTATATTCCTGTGGGCAAGGTGGAAATTACACAGATTAATATGTAAAACGTATAGAATGTTAGTGATAAATGCCAAAGATGAAAATGAAGGGGGAATGAGAGCTAAGGTGTGTGTGTGTGTGTGTGTGTGTGTGTGTGTGTGTGTGTGTGTAGATAAAGTGGCAGTACAAGGCCTCACTGAGAAAGTGCCATTTAAGTAAAGATCTAATGAGGAATTTACAAATACCCGAGGTAGGACCATTTAAGGCAGAGAGAAGAATAAATGCATAGCCCGAGGAGGTACGAGTGTGCCTAGAGTGTCAGAGAAAAACAAAGAGTGTGTCTGGGGCTGAAATATCAAGGTGTTTAGTAGTATAAGAAGTCAGAGGGGCTACGGAGATTAAAGTCAGGTGAAGCCATGGTTAGGCTTTTAGCTTTTACTCCGAGTGAGAAGGGAAGCTTTTGGAGAGTTGAGCTGGCTTTCTCTGTCAGCTGTGTTGAGAATGTATCATTAGGGAGCAAAGACAAGAACAGGGATACCATTTAGTATGCTATTTTGAAACATCTAGACTCACGAGAGATGATGGGGTTCTTTTGACTAGTGTAGTAGTGAGCACAGTTATAACATTGCTTTCTGGATGTCTTTTGAGGTAAGAACCCATAGGATTTTCTGATGGATTGCCTGTGGGGTTTGACATAAAGAGTCAAGAAGGATTCGAAGTTGTTGGCCTGAACAAATGGAAATATAGATCGAGGCCTAGGACACACTATATTTAGAGGTTGAGGAGATGAGGAGGAACCAGCATGGGAGACTGAGTAAAGGCAGTCTTTGAGGTCAGAGGAAGTTATGTGTTTGTAGTCTAGGAAGCCAAATCATTATTCCCAAGAAGAGGAATCCTCTGAATCAAATTATGGTGATAAATAAGCTGAGGACTGAGAATCAGCCATTGACACTTTCTGAGTGTCAAACAGCAGGTAAGCAGCGGGGACAGAATTCGAACCACCTGAGAACAGTGACTCCAAAACTTTTCATTACCTTCTTTCCTGTCTCCTTGCTACCCTAAATTTTCTCATTTGTAATCAACTATCTATAGATGTGTCTGAAATGAAATTTTCTGGGCTCTTCACTGTCTTGTTCATACTCCTCAAGGCACATTTATGTCAGTTTTTCTCTTAATTTTCCAATATTCCTCTTTAAAATGTTGTTGCTTATCAGAACCCAGGTATCATCTAAACATTGACAAATATGCGGAGGCTACTAACTGCTTCTTTCTCAGACCTGTATCTCTATTTATGCAGCAGTTACTCAGTTTGCAAGTAGTATACATCGGCAGTGGGGTACAGTAATTGAGCTGTACACAGTTGCCAATGAGCCTATAGACTGTCAGTGTCCATACCAAGTGACCAGGCATTCCTTCTGATACCTTGGTGCCCATGCTGCATTAATGGGTAAATATTTTGAATACCATCCCTGACTACATCCAAACTATCAGGTTACTTTTACTGTGAGTTGGAATAAGATATGTTCAAATCTGTTTGATTCATCTTCATTGAAATACCCCTAGAAGCAGCAGAGTATGTTTGAAAGAGAGCTTAAGTTGTAACTAGATCATCAGGGTTCTAATATTCGTCTAAAACTTTCTACTTCTATGATTCTTTTTTTGTCCATGCCGTGTGGCTTGTGGGATCTTAGTTCCCTGACCAGGACCAGGGATTGAATGCATGCCTCCGGCAATGGAAGTGCAGTATCTTAACCACTGGACCACCAGGAAATTGCCTCTACTTCTATGATCTTGGATATATGACTTAATCTTATTTGCGCTCAATTTTCTCTTGTGTAAAATAGGATAAAATAATGCTGATTCTATCTCACAGAATTATTATGAAATACATATGAAATCATGTAATACACAGTAATTTGGTACACAGTGTAAGGCATTCCATTTTTATCATGGTTATGTCAGTGTTTTCAAATCTTTCACAAACCTCTCTGTGCCTCGCTTTCCTCCTCTGTCAAATTGGGAGAATAATAGTACCTACTCCAGAGATTACTGTTTTGTTGTGGTGATGATGGTGGTTATTGTTGTTATATAAATTAGGATAATTGGAATAATGTGGCTAACCAAACAAGGTATTTAAGCTCAAATATTACCCCTGAGATATTCAATTATGTTTGTCTCTCTGTTAGTAATACTAATTGATTATTCCATTAGATGCTTAGAATAAAGAGATTATGATCATGACATTGAGGCCATTGATAATCTTTTCATCATTTATAAAGACAAGATGGTGTTCTGATTCTACTCTTCATATAATTTCATGTAAAAAAAAAAAAACCAAACAAAACAAAACTCAATGTAGATAAAATAGAAGCCACTGTGTTGGAAAAGGATAATTCTAAAACTGTTTAACTCAAAGAACACCAGTTTGTTCTCACTGTTCTTGTTGTCATTTTGTTGTAGTACAAGTATTTTTCTTATTTTCTCTTTTTTTGAGCTGATATAGTTAAAATTTGAGATGCCCCACATCCCGCTGTAGCTCTTGGTAGTTGTAAATATTTGAATATTATGTATTTACTTAGAATGTGCTTATTTTTTTCTTCTAAATGCTCAGAGTCCTTTGCAAATAGCATTTAGCTTTTAATGGAGAACAAATTTAAAGTATTGGGAAACGTGTGCCAATTAAGATGCTAAGGACAGAGAATTTAGAAGACCAAAGCTGAGAATTAAGAATATGTGAATTTTGGAGCTTTGTCTAGGTTCTTATCTTTAACAGTATATTGTGGCTACTTTATTTTCATGGACTTTTCAGTTCAAGTAGCAAGCTAGAACTTTCCATGGTTCTGTGCACACTTGTGTAAACAATTCAATGATGTCTTTGTGAAGCTCACTTTCAAGATAACCCAGAAGTTTCACCTGCTAATTGATACAGCATCCTGGGAGCATATAATCCCCAAGCACCATAGTCTGTGTACTTGGAAATTTTCAAGTAGAATCCAAGATAGTAAAATGTTTCTATTACCTTTGGAGTTTTGCTCCTGATGAGATGAAACTGAGTTCTCATTTGCTGCCCTTGATGGCATAATTTAAAATGTATATATTCCAGCTAGTCTATAAATACTTTTTAAAAAAGACTGTCCTTTTATAGTGTTTTATTTCATTTATTGTGCTAAATTTTAATTTGTTTTCTTGTATATTACAGTTTTTCCTGATTGGATGTATTGTATTGTCTATAGGCTCTTTTAGCATTTTGCACTCTTTGACCTTAAATCCAGTAATTCTAGTTCATGAACTCCTTTTAAAATAAATTTAAAGAGCCCTCTGTTCACTTGTGACTACTTCTTTAAATTGGAGAATCTTTTTAAATATTTAAAACTATATGGATTATTTTATGAGCATTCCCAGCATTTGGTGTGCTCGGGGAATAGTCCAGTCAAGATGATTACTTACTTCTCTGACAGTGTTTGTGATGTTGCCATATTGTATATATCTATATTTATGTCTACATATCTTCTCTGTCTGTCTTTAACTATTTGCTTTCAGAGGGAAGACACTAGATCTGCACTGTGCAATTACAATTGACACTTGACACATTGTAGCTTTTAAAATTTAAGTTAAATTAGATTAAATTAAATTAAAAATTAATATCCCCAGTCATACTTGCCATGTTTCAAGCACTCAGTACCCACGCGTGGCTAGTGGGATGTATTGGACAGTGCAGATACAGAATATGTCCATCCTTGCAGAAAGTTCTACTGAACAATGCTCCACAGAGTGTGCATGTATCAATTATATGCCTCCCACCTGTACTCCAATATTAAACTTTGGAATATTTGTTTAAATGCCTGTAGATCTAAAAGTTTTAAAAAAACAGTCTGATGTAGAATAACCTCCTGCCACAAACTCAAGTGAAATCTTTGTATAATGCCACTACTAAATCACAAAAATATTGTCTCACTGTATGTTAAATACATTATAGCTTGCTTTTTCTGCAGGTTGTTAGGTTTAGGACATATAACATATTGTTATAGCCACAGGTTTTAATGACTATAGTAATATAGTTCTACTGAATCATAGCTTAAAATTGTTGTCTCTGTAGAGACATTATTAGCTAAACTCAGCAGTATCAAATGCTACATTTTGTTATGTAATTGTGTTTTTGTTGTTCAAAAGTTAACTCTGGTTAGGAGAAATGAACAAAGGAATTTAGAAAGCTTTATGAAACTGTAATTTTCCTTGAAATGGGAGTACTTTGACAATCCTAGAGAGAGAAATTAACCCGCAGTCTTGTACTTAGATAAATATGGGGTTTTTCTTGTAAATTATTTATGCTAGTATACTTTTTTCCTATTGTATATACTTACTGGATTTTCTGTTTGATTTTTAATAAAGACTATATACTTATTAGGAGCATTATCAGTGTTGTATTTTTAAAAGATAAATTCCATTTTAATTATCTGACACTTTATCATTTCATTGTTATAATTTGCCTTTGTTGGTTCTTTTTTTGGGGGGCAGTCTTAACTTATAATGGCTCAGAAACTATTATGTAAGAAAAGTTGAGTAGACATCTTATTACAAAGAATAACAATTCAGTATGAAAATGGCTTGTGATTCATTGCCATTTTGATGCTTCTAGTGCCAAGAACTTGAGAAAAAAATCTTTAGATTCACATGATAAGCTGACAGAGTGAAATATCTTAAGGCTTGAAAGGGCAAGTGGAAGTTATAATTACTGTATAGTTTCACAATCCTTTTATTGAATACTCACCTTTGCTATCATGCTGCAGGCCATAGAGCGAGAAAAAGCCGAGAAGTTCAGAAAACTGCAAGATGCCAGCAGATCAGCTCAGGCCCTGGTGGAACAGATGCTGAATGGTAATTACACAGTGTTGATTTAGATAATCTTCTTAGGGATTTGATAAACACATAGGTTCATGTTTATCAGCAGAATTATATCAGGCAAGCCCTTCCTGAATGAAAATTTAAAGTGAGTGTGAGCTTTTATTATTCTTTCTTAATGCTAAGCAAATTATTAGAGGAAATTCAGCTTTGAGTCCAATGTAAGAAAATGGCTTGTGGTAGAATATTGTATCAATCTGCTGCCGAGAAATCAGTTTTAGTGCAAATCCTGCTAGCATTTGTCCAAATGATTTAAGAAAACAGGATTTGCAGAAATAATTGGAAATGTAAGCAATCATATAATATACGTAAAGTGATTATAATCTGATTTAAAATAATTTTGCAGTATATGTTTTCCATACCTGTTTGCTAATAATGTATTTATTTTCTATGTTGCTTTTCATTTTTTAACATGTTTAAAAGAAAATGTCTCCTCAGGGGAACTTTTTTTTTTTTTTTAACTTCACCTACTTCTGAGTGGGGTAAAAGTACAAAGCTAGCAAAACATATTTTTAAATAATGAATTAAAATTAATTTTTGCTAACACTTGGTACCTCAAAAGCTGTCTGAACAAAATGTTATTGATGTCAATTGTAAACAAACTTCTTTTCAATTGTCATTGTTATACTATTATATTCATTTCTATAAGTATAAGGTGTAAGTAATTTATGAAAATCAGGGGTAATGCTATTTCTAAACAAGGTTTATTTTATTTTTCAAAGGATATGTTTACAAGAATATCATAAGCAAATGTAACAAATGTTTTTGTTATGCATGTCAGCTTTTTCCAGTACCTGCCTGCATTCTGGGGCATAAATTCTGTGTATGAATTATTTTTTGCCTTAATTGCCATGTTGGCATTAAAAAATTCAATGATCTTCCTAGGAAATCAATCCATTTTCGTCTTCTCATGAGCCCCATGACTGTATTTGGTTAAAAATAAAAACAAGCAAATATGACAGCTGAGGATTGGGTTAACAAGTTAATGAATATATAGAAGATGAAAAATACAAAAAAGGTTGCTTTTTATTTTTATTTATTTATTTATTTATTTTTGCGGTACACGGGCCTCTCACTGTTGTGGCCTCTCCCGTTGCGGAGCACAGGCTCCGGACGCGCAGGCTCAGCAGCCGTGGCTCACGGGCCCAGCCGCTCCGCAGCATGTGGTATCGTCCGGGATCAGGGCACGAACCCGTGTCCCCTGCATCGGCAGGCGGACTCTCAACCACTGCGCCACCAGGGAAGCCCCAAGGTTGTTTTTTAGATGCATGTTTGCTGGATGGTTTAACTGATGAGTTTGACAACGACATATTCATGTTAAATAAAATTATATGATCTAAAAAAATATCCTTAAACTATTATATAATTTCCCCCTAGGAGCTGCATTATCACTTTTTCATTTTTATAAAGTGATGTAAAATCTATACTTTTAAATAATCTCTACTTTTAAATGGTCTCATTTCATAATCAAATATCAAGTATACCTTAACTCAGATTATCTGATAGTAGCATAAACTGAATTATTCAAAAAGAAGTTAAAATTTAGAAATGAAGGTAATGAGTTTTTGTGATGAAATTACATACAGGGTTAAATAAAATGATCATATGATTAATGATAACATAATTTTCTAGATTATTTCCCTTATAGCTTTAAATTTTGGAAGCATGAAGAAAAATCAGGACATATACTAGGTCTGTAATAAATATTAATTGACTGATTAAATTCTGTTTAGCAAAGAAAAATTAAGGCAGTAATTGAGATAATGACATTGGTAATTTTGGTCAGAAGGTAATAATACTTCTGAAGGAAAATTCTAATTTCTGTAGAAAGCAAAGCACAGTAAGGGGTAGGGGTGCGATGTGAGACTTTCCTCATTGGTTGACTATATTGATCAAATTTTACGCTTCTCATTTGTTATGCTAATAAAGATTTGGTCTAAGTGATATGTGATTAGGTTCAAAATTGGGCTATAACTAGAGCATAGATACTTCTGCTCTGCTCCATTTAATCAAACAATTTACATAATTACTAAAAAGTAGACTCCAAGATTCAAACTTATATTTTGTTCCTTTTGGTTTTGTCTTTCACAGAAGAAATTGCATAGTATTTATTTTGTGTGATTGTTTGAGCAAATTGTGAGTTAAGCCAGATGCACAATATGTGCCTGGAGTACCTCTCCAGGTATATTTCAGAGGGCCCCCCCCAACCCTATATTACAATTGCTCCACCAACATAGAGCCAAAAACTAGAGTTTACTGATGTGGTTCATGAAGTTGAAAGACAAATTGAGGTTTCTCTAAACAAGATTTCCCAACAGTTATCTCAGTAAAGCTCTTAAATTTACAAGTTCAGAATTTCTTTTCTCAAGTGTGGCTATGGAGTTGTAATAAAACTCATAACCATATAAAACATACACATTCTTGTTCTTTTGTTTATAGAAAGGAAAATGACAGCTGAATCATGGTACTTCATTTATGACCTCATGTAAATGTCTATTCATTTAACCACATATCTTATCCTTAAAAATTAAGATAAAGGCAGATCATTCTTGTACGATGTTATAATGTTATGCAAGTAATACAAATATATATACATTCTATGTATGTTTTCCCATGGTAACAACTTTTAACATATATTCATAGTTTAAAAGTATGTATGGAGATGAGCATAAATATAGCTATTATATTTTAAAGAAAGCATTTCATAAACTATGTTTTATATATGTGTATACACACACACACAAACACACACACAGGAAACTGAATTTTCTGCTTAGAATAATTTGCCATAAGTTTAGAGCATGTTTTAAAGTATCTAGAATGATTTTGGAACTCTTAATTTTTCCTTCAGAATGAAACTCTAAGACGTGCAAAAAAATTCCTCACTGCTTATATTTTACATCAGTTTTGACCACAAATGGTATATCAAACATATTTTCAAATCACTTTTGGCCATTTTTAAATAGCTACTGAAAGCTTAAATTTTTAGCACCACTTAAGAAATGCAAAAAACAAAATCTGTTAGTCCTGAAGGCATTTCTTGAATGAATTTAAGAAAGGTACTGAGAAACAGGGAGTGGAGTAGGGTCTTAAAATGGTTAAAAATGCAGAGGTTACCATGTTGCCAATGTAGAAGAAATGGCTTTCATTCGATGTTGCAAGGTTGTGTTAAAAATCAATTGCATGTCCTGAAAACACTGTTTCTCGTAGCACGTTTAGTTTTGCACGGTTACATAGACGTTATGATCAATTAGAAGATAATTTTTGTTTTGGCTGCATTTTATCAAATGCAAAGTGTTACACGAAGAATATTAAAATACAGTTAATATTAAATATACTGTAAGTTTTAGTATCAACTATGTTGTGAATTTTGCAGTAGAATGATTTATATTTGAATAATATGCAGGGATATTCAGTAAGAGATTATTATTAATTCATTTGGATTTAAATCAAAAAAGAGATTGTGCAAATTATTTGCATACGTTAAAGCTATACATGAACATTTTCCTTATAGGTGTCCCAGTTCTTTTAGAAGAATGTAAAGGATCTTCATGATCATAATAGACTAACTTGGGAGGCTACAGTGCTACTAACAGAGAGTGTTATCTAAAAAATGTATTTTGGGGACTTTGACATGGAATTTTGGTATAATTCTGACTGATTTATCTCTTTAACTGTTTTTTTTTTTTTTTTTTTTTTTTTTCTGTACACGGGCCTTTAACTGTTTTTTTAACTAATATCAATGTGTTGCTCCTATATCAAAATCAATTGATTGGATAAGTATGGGGAATAGTGTGATAAAGTTTTGGATGATGGAGAGGTCCTCCTCTTACTGGAGAAATTTTTCACAGATAGAATCTTTATGAAGCTTATTGTCAGTATATAAGATTAGTATCACAGCCTTCATCTCAACAAATTCACATCCTAGAACTTTAATGAGAGTAAATGGGAGACTAGATCGGGTACCTAGTGATGTACTTATGTTTCTGGTAGCTGTGTTATACTGAGAAGGAGAATTTCCAAAATTTTATTTATTTAGATTTAAAAAATATACAATATAACCTTCTTTAAGATTTATTTTTATATTTAAACACAAAATGACATAAAATAAAATTTTAGAGAATTTTAGCAACTAAATATGGTGAAGAATCTTGCTATTGTATCAGTAGTATTGATTATTAATTAATCCGGATTCCTAAGATTTTATTTTACTTTTTTAACTGATCTGCATACTTTAGAGCAAAAGATTTTCATCTTTTGAGTGAGATTATGGGACTTCAGGACAATCTAGAACATTTTTATACCTAAAAATGTGCTTACTTGTTTTTATCTATTTACAATTAGACTTCATTTTTAATTCTTTTTGTAAAATAATGTTCTTGATTCAAATATATAGTCTCCTTATCAGCCAGATATTACAAAAAAAAACCTGGTTTCAATAAATTGTTTTCCTTTATTAATATTGAAATTACCAAAAATGTTATATCAAAACATTAATTTGATGGGTCCAAGTTGGCAGACAAGTCAACTTTTTCCACTAGACCTTGAGCCTCAGTATATGCTCACATCAGCAAGCTAAATAACATACTCACAGGTGCCATTGACAGTTCCAAAACAATAAGGATCAAAAAATTGGGTGGTGGCCCAATTCCTGGAAATCCCTGCCCCTTCCTAAAATAGCTGGAATACTCCTCCCACTCATTAGCCTATGAAATTACCCACTTCTATAAAAACTGACAACCCCATACCCTGGTGCATTTCTCACCATCTGAGATGGCCCACACTCTGTCTGTGGAGTATGTTTCTCCTAAGTCCACTCTCACCTTCTGAGATGGCCCACACTCTGTCTGTGGAGGGTGTTTCTCTCTAAATAAATCCACTTCTTACCTATCACAAACAAACAAACAAACATTCATTTGAAAACATATAAGCATAGCTCAATTTCCCCTTTCTTAAGCTATAAAATGGTTTCACCA